ACTTTCTGGGGATGTCTTTGACACATACTTGGTGAGAAATTCAGAACTCTAAGTCCACTGGATGAAACCGCAGGACCAACAGCTACTCCTATTTGTCCTGGATAATGTGCATTATGACAGTCTATCTCTAGATAAGGGATCGACATACCTTGGGCTTTGTGTATAGTTAGACTATATGCAAGCTTTATTGGAAATTGCAGTCTTTTTGCTAAGCATGCATTTGTAACTGGGTCTATTTTGGTAAAATTCATTTTTTTTACAGGAACAACCCTTTCTTTTCCATCAACCATGAATTTGACAGTAACTTCATTTGTATAGATTTGGCACACAGTACCAGTGAGTCCATTAACTAACTTATTGTCCATGTTCTTGATAAGTACAACTGGGCAATTAACTTTTAATCCTAAATGTTTCGGAGCTGGCAATTTATTTAAATAAAAAGAGTCACCTTCATCTTCAGACTTAAATGTGTGTAAAGTCCCTTCTAAAGATTCAAGTTTATTATAATTGTGAATATCAACATCCATGTTGCGGGCAAAGAGTGTCACTTTGTTTGTTTCAAATGATCCTTCTATGGGTCTACTGAGGGAATGTACAAACTTGTTTGTCTGATGAGATGGTGTGCCCCTCTCTAATTCATTAACAGCTTCCGCTAACACTGACTCTTTTTGCCTATGAGCAATCGTTAAGTTAATTTTATGAGGAAATGCATTGTCAAAGAAATCACATTCAAAACAGTAGTTTCCATATTCTCCTAAAAGTTCATCTCGCACTGGGGGCAACTGGAAGAAATCACCCACTAAAATGACCTGCATTCCTCCAAAATGATGATCATGTCCTCTCAGCCTTCTGAACAGATATTCTACGTGTGTAAGGATCCTAGCACTCACCATAGAAACTTCATCTATCACAAGAATATCTGTTGTTAAAATGTTTTCTCTTACAGTGGAATACCTCTCATCTGTAGAAACAAGGCGGAATAACTCCTCTTTAGATAATCTACCTGTAGAAGAGTAAACAATTGTTTTGAGAGATATATATACATACAGACAAAGTGATATGACCCTTAAGTTCATAACGGCCTGTCTTTTATAGTAAAGTTCTGTGTAGAATTTGAAAATATTGCATGGAAAACTTTTCGAGTTATTGTGTTGGGAAAAAAATGTCAAGAATATTCATGAAATTTTATAAACACACATACGAGTGTCATGGATATACATTCAGACATACATACAGACAGACAAAGTAATATGATCCTAAAATCTTATGATTTGTGTTTAATTTCCTTGTGTAACAAATTTGAAAACATTTCTTTCAAACTGTTGGATTTATAATATCCATCACAACAAAAGTTTTAAAAGATGGACCCAGACAGATGGACAATGTAATTCCTATAGCAGCTGTATAGGGCTCACAAATTTTCAATGGGTTTCTAATAAACTGTATTTATTTCAATGAAATGTGAGAATTATTATGAATCACCTACAAATTAAGTACAGGTCCACAAAACTGAAATCGACGTGAACACTTAAAATTGTTATTAAGACCTACTGGTATGTTTTAATAAGGAAAGTGTATACCATCTTCCAATCCAGCAAACTTGTGCAATGCACAGGCTAATGGGTATTGTTGACAGGCCATGCCTGTATAGCATGTTATGCGTATGTTTTGTAGTTGTTTGGTCATGTATTTGATCAGAAATGTCTTTCCAGTACCTTTTTTGGCCGGTACTTACTAGGTTATGACCATTTTTTATCATGTTAACTGCCTTTTCTTGTATGCAATCCATTTTGTTCGCTAGATTCGCCACCTTTTTCTTTAGTCCGCGAAACTGGAACTTCTTTGGTGTTATCATTGGGTTTCGGTAATCCTCTAGATTTTTCATATACGAAAATTATCTACCCTTACGTTGTTTCCATGTAATCAACCGCCAGGCGTCGCGTTTTGGTAAACTTCCGTTCTCTTTGGGTCGATTTGAGGAGACGGGATGCCGAATCGATGAAATCGTATTCGTTTTCTGTACGCGCATTGACGACTGACAGACGCATCATCATTTAGAAAAATCATCACTGTAGGGAAGAGAATAAATTAATGCCATAGAGTCCAGAAATAGGTGCTGAAGTGGGAGGGGGTATTTTTTCTAAGATGTCAGCTTGCGTCCCTTTGAGAGTTTATGTATATAGGTGTAGTACTTTTTTTTAAAACATTATTTTTCTTGCCTGATCATGTCAGAATCTTTATTAAAGCAACTTTCAGAGTGTAATTAATGTAGATACAATTTAAAAAAAAAATATTTTACATTAACAATCCGGAAGACAAGCCCCTATGATTCAGCCAAGAAATATATAAACATAATTTAATTTTATTTGTATTCTCGCCTCTCATTGGTTGATTTCCAAAAAGGAACGCATAACATTTTGTATAATCTGGTTTGGTATGGGGACACACCCCCTTGACGACCAGCTTAATCATCATATCCATGCAATCCCCTCATTTCCAGTCCTCGGAATCCATGGAAAATTCCAGATTTAAAAAATGTACCTTCAACTTTAAACAATTACTCGTTCTTACCTCATGTAAACAGACATCATGGCTGCTAGATCTATGTATCAGTTATTACCTCCCCTCGCTTCAAATCACTTCCGTTACTACGGTTGTATTATTGCGCGGTAAATTTGAACTTATAAAAAGCAACAGAATTTTACATCAAAAGTTGTTTAATTATTTCAAAATTAAATTATAAGGGATGACTTTAATTCTTGGCCATATTATCGAGTATAATCTGGTTTGGGTCAGTTTACGCTTTATAATCCGCTAGTTTACGCTTTTTTATAATCCGCTTCGCGGATTATAAAGCGTAAACTGACCCAAACCAGATTATACTCGATAATATGGCCAAGAATTAGAGTCATTCCTTAAATAAACTTCAAATTTCCCTTTGACACGTACATCACTAATCAATTTTGTGACGTAAACGAGGCTATTATGACGTCTACTTCTCTAGGGAGTTTTCTTTAAACGAACGATAAGTGTATTGCGGGAAAATACTAAGTATCCGAAGAGATAGAATGTGATGAAAAGCATGCCGACGACCGTGAAATATGAAGTTTTATGACCTGATCACGTGACAATCTAGAACCAATCAGATAATGTGTTGTGTAGAATAATTATGAGGTATAATAATAAAGTTTATATCAAGTAGAATCTTGATTCGATGCAACAGTTTCACAGAGATTGAAATAATTTCACTTTCCACAGAAACTAGTGATGGAATACCCTAGCTGGTATATCTAACGGAAACCACTTTGAAACATGATGTATATTGATAGGTTTCCATTTGATTTTCGTATTGTTTCTCATTATGTAAAACAGCACAGATTTTTTTTTTACTTGCCTGAAAAAAGTCGTAGGGGGGGGGGGGGGGGGGGGGGGGGGGGATAGAGGCAAACTTTTTTCATTACCAATTCCTTTCAACATCCATTTTTTAAGCTTACAATTATTATATTTCCTTCATATTACTTTACTTTAGTACAAAGTGGGGGGGGGGGGGGGGGCAACCAGCCTTTCAATAAACATTTTCAATAGTAAAAGTATTGTTGGCAAAAAAAGTGGGGGGGGGGGGGCAACCCCCCCCCCCCCGTTGCTACGTGCCTGTGGTTCAGGTATGGCTTGTAGTTACTTAGGAATGGACTTGCTCCTAAAACTTAAACCTGGGACGCCGACACCGACGCCAACGCCGGGGGTATAGCATAAGCTCATCTCGACTTCGTCGAGGTGAGCTAAAAATCAAAACAAAAAAATGGGAGTCTGTGTGCTCCTTTTAGCACTACGAAGCAATTAATATGACCTTTTTGCACTATAATTATATCTAACACATACGTTAATTTTTCAAAGTTTTTTCTTAAATGTGTTTTATCCAAATAGATTTTTGGATCTAACACAGTCTTTTTTCATCTTAAAAAGTCACATTGAAAATTGTGACAACAAAAATACGCATGTAGTTTCAAATTACTTCGTATAGTTAAGTAATTGACCTTTCTGCACTCAAAGAGTGTTATTTTTCTGGTGAAAATTTGAAAAGCAATAAAATCATTTGGAAGTAATGACATTTTTTCTGAATTTAAGCAAAGTGGTTAAAATTATCTAATGTATTCAGAAATTGAAATAAAAAGTGGGAGTCTGTGGTGTTTATTTTTAGATATTACTAAAATAGTGATTTAGGACTAGCATAGAACATTTCACTGCACAAAATTACTCTCTGTGCAGTCTGCATGTAAAAAAAAAAAGGTATCCAAACTTTTAAAACATTAGAAACTTTTCGTATGACATAGTTTGCCTAGAACTTATACCCTTAGCCGCCATATTGTAGAGCAACATTACCAGATCCTTTCATTATTCAACGAAGTTCAATTTGTTAAACTGGTTACTGAGATAAAGATACCAGTATTTTTCTTATCAATATACGTTTGTTAAAGCGTCTATTAATTCATGATTATAAGATTGTAAATATTTCCCCCCATATATCTTTTGCATGCATGTTTAAAATTGGTTACTCAAAGAGGAAAACTCTCTACTTTCCTCTATAAGATGGCGACTAAGGGGAATAACTCCTAGGCAAAAGATGTCAAAGGAAAAGGGTCTAACATACTAAATACTTAAAAAAGGAAAAATTGATCTTTTTCTTCTAAAAAACTGTCTGCCTTAAAAAATTTTTCCTCACTAAATGCTTTCGATATGGAATTTAATCATGGCGTCTTAATTGAATTTAGTGTAATTAGTATTATAAAATCTTAACTTAATGTAAGAACTAAAACATTACATAGAATTTTTTAAATAGAGGCCAAGACAAAAATCTGCTGAAAAGTTGAGGAGCGAGCCTAGTTAAATAAAGATATAGCATTTATATTGGACAGGTCAGTTCTTTAGTAGGTCAGGTATATAGTATCCTTAAATGAACATTAAGACAGCAGTGGAGCTCCATACCATTTTAGGCTGATATCCTTGGCTGATCTTCAATGCGTGCTAATATATTTAGATTCCGGAAGTAAGTAAAATAAATACTAGGTAATTCTTTATAAAGTTAATCAAAATATGTTCATTATATATGTATATATATATTTTTTTAATTTAAAATTAGGAATATTTTTTAAAGATACTCCCAGTAGATGTTGATTTATCGGATGTACCTGCATGCCAGGTATTCGAGGATGTCGTATAAGTAGATGCATGAACGACAAGGAACCAAGAGACTTTACCATTAGCTAAATATGGCTAATTAGACAAATTTGTAAGTATGAAATATGATAATTTCATAATTTGCAGATATGAGTGATACAGTATATACAAGAGTGTAATGTTTTAGTGCATTGTGCACTTTAATTCTCGAGAGTAAAAACTCATATGAATAATCGAAGAGACATTGGTAATGACATAAGCACAGGCACACAGATAGGAAGTTTCGAAAGAAGAACACCTCTCTCTCAGCCATCGACAAATTATAGTAAATTCCAGTCCTTTTACTGCTTGTTGGATCAGTCCCCATTAGTGCGGTTGCACTTTAAATATTTGCTGTTGTGTTTAGATAGGATTGTGTGTTTGTTATTAAGGAGTTCCTTTACACTTTCGCTGACGTATGTCACACACACACACACACAAAATTAACCTCCATTGCTATGTCCGAGCCGTTTTTCTCTGTGAACAAAATTTACAAGTTTGCTATTATTAATTATCTATATCCTTAAACGCGTTAAATATGGATTGAAGATGCGATATTGCAAACAACGAAATTAAAGTAACGGATTTATTTTAAATCATAGTTGAAAAGGGGTGTTTTTGATAAAGACGCAAGATCCTTTCTTTGTTAAACTTGTATAATGTTCAATGTCAAAGTGTTACATCGTTGACAACATGTACGTAAGGAGGATATTTAATTTGTAAAAATTTACCATGTAAAAAAAAATTTATTGAATTGAGCAATTTCCAGTATTGTCTATTTGTTGACTTTTGTAATTATCTTTACATCTAAATATTTCCATTTCTAATGATAACTCTTTGAAAGTTAGCGGAGTTAATTACTTGATAATTCTACCGGAATGTAAATTAGGCAGGTCAATAGGTCGGGAGCTAAGGAGGCATAATATGCATGCAAATCTCGCGCGCAACTGTCTCCGAGTCTGACGCTAAGGAGGTCAAATATGCATGAAAATCTCGTGCGGCTGCCGTTGTGTTTGACGTCAGTGGGCGAGGACTATTAAAATTGGGATGGGAATCCTGGTGTAATTTAAATCTATGTCTGCATTTTAAAGCTAGTCTAAATCTACAATTTTATTTCATAATGAAATGGACATATAAGGAATCACTATCTAGTTAGTATAGTATGCCAGGGACATCAACACTATTGTTGTCAACACTAGACAGTGATTCCTTAAATATATTATATATATTCTATAAACTTTTTTTCGTCTTATTTCAAATGCTATGTGTTCCAACGTCCCATAGAGTTTTTAGTCTTTGGGAATTAGGATAGATAAGAAAAACTTTTTATACCAAATATTATTATTCGCCTGGATCGAAAGATCCGAGGCGTATATTGTTTTTGTCCTGTCTGTCTGTTTGTCTGTTTATCTGTTTGTCTATTTGTCTGCAAACTTTAACCTTCGCTATAACTTTTGAACCATAAAAGATAGAGACTTCATATTTGGTATGCATACTCCACTAATTAAGGTCTTTCAAATGACACCAAGGTCAATGACCTTGTGACCTTGACTGTGACCTATATGCTAAAAATAGTTTTTTCTGCAAACTTTAACCTTCGCTATAACTTTTCAACCATAAAAGATAGAGGCTTCATATTTGGTATGCATACTGCACTAATTAAGTTCTTTCAAATGACACCAAGATCAATGACCTTGTGACCTTGACTGTGACCTATATGCTAAAATATGTTTTTTTAACTTTGTTGCCGGCGGGTGCATAGTGTTTCACAAACACATCTTGTTTAATTGAAGTTTTATTTCTTTAAGGTTCATTGATACTCTGATAGGAGAGATATCTCTTAATGACATAAATGTCTATTATTCCTTTATAGATTTGCCAGGTTGAAGTGTCTTTCTTGTCCAATTTTGCCCCGCAAGCAATGCTATAAATGCTTGTATTTTACTTATAAAATATATTTCTTTTGGTAAATCATTAAGGTTCAAGCAACATTTTGCATGAGCGAGCAGAGGTTTTGAGCCTTAAAACATTCTTCATTCAATTTGTCACACAGTATAAATATATTGTGTATTACACATACACAATATATTGAAAAAGATTCCTTGTTTATTTACTGTATCTCATTTTCTTAATTACGTGTGTATATGCACAGATTGAGAAGAAAGTCATATTGTTATACTCTGATAAATATCTTTCTATATATTGTTTTACTCAAATAAGTCCAACAAAGAAAATTTTATTACATTGGTCTTACAATTTCATTCTAAATCTTGACTGGCCTGCCAGTTCATAATAAGAGTTGATGAGACCATAACAATGTAACGTCACTGCTGACTGCTAAGTAATTATCATCAATTAATATCGGCGACACGGAAATAGCCGAAATTTAGAGCTGCAAGAGTTGTTGATATCTGAAAGACAGTTACTGGAAGAGTATGTTTTGTGACATTTAATTTGTGTGATAAAATAATATTTTTCTCCTTTCTCTGCTTTTGTTTTGTTTTAAAAATCCTCTCTACACTGCACTCTAAGGAAATCTGATTCTATGATAATATTTTTATGAAGTTAGAGTGATCTGCCTTTAGATCTAAATTCTAAAAAAATGAAATTTACAGTATATATATCTAAATCTGTAATGAAATCAAGTATTTTTCAGATTTTGATAGACCAAGGTAAATCAATTGAAATGTTATTATTCACACGTATTTCCTCTATGGAAGTAAACAACAGTAATTTATGTTCACTGAGTTGTGTTTGAACATTATTCCTGGGGATGGGGATTAAATGTCACGTACCATATAGTGAGAATTAAATAGATAAGCTCAACATTAACACCTTTATCCAATATATTTTTCTCAAAGTCCAAAAAAACGATTTGCACTGGCGTAGAGAGAGTCCGAAAGGAGGTTCGAATTCGATCCTGCGCAGATCGTTGTCTGGACCTTTATTTCTAAAATTCTTCATTTTTAGGTTCAAACATTATAATTAAGTCTGGATTTTATAATGCAAATTGAACTATATTCAATGAAAAAAACGCGATTAAATTTCATTTAAATAGGATTAAGCCAGGACCTATATTTTGTTGTGGAAGGATTTTTTGACACGCCAATGTCCGATGTTGCGGAAAACAAACAATTAACGTTTATACCGTTATAGTACTATGCGCCAAACTGCAATGGCGCGAAATGCCAAGGTCTTAAATAAGTATAAATATCATTATGCGAAAACTAACCCTAATTTCTCGGATCTATATGTGCGAATCACAGGCACTTGTTTCGTATACGGGGTTCCCCTACCTATATTTACCACAAGGTACCTAAGTCATTTTAGGGCACCCCCACTTCAAGCTTGTATTTACTAATAAATCAATCATACACCTACATTATCTTGACATAGTTCGCTACACGAGATATTTTTTTCCATATTGCTGACGTCTCCTATAAAGATCTTTTGTTGTAAAATGCTTATTTTTCATCGATGATCAGCTGGAATCATAGCAAGACAAACTTTAAGCTACATTGACTTCCGGTAATTGGGGTCTAAATGTTATACAGAGATTTCATTGGTTGCTAAGTCACGCAACGCAAAAGTGAAAGTAAAGTCATGATGGCGTTGACAAAAACGCAGCAAGTGATACTGGAGAAGGCCAAAGAGGGCCATTCCTTGCTGATATTAGGGCAAATCGGCACTGGAAAGAGTTATTTGATGAAAGAAATTTCAAGAATACTATTGCGAGAAGGGAATTAAGGCTGTTCCAATCACTGCTTCAACTGGAATTGCGTCCTTGAATGTGAATGGGCAAACGATACATTCCTGGTCTGGGATTGGTGATGGTAGATTTTCCAATGACGAGATTATTTACAAGTTAAATACTGATGAACATTTCAAGAAATATGAAAGTAACATTTTAGCAACAAACTGTTTAATTATAGACGAAATTTCAATGCTATCATTGAAGCTATTTGATCAAATTAAACATATTTGTAGAAATATTGTGCAAAGTAATATTGTATTTGGCGGTATTCAAGTAATAGCAAGCGGTGACTTTTTTCAACTGCCCCCTGTCCCAGATTATCTGAAAAATGATGTAGGGGAATTTTGTTTTAAGTCAAGAGTTTTTGCTCAAATTTTTGGCCATAAGTATTTATTGAAAGATGTTTTCGCCAACACCAGTCTGATTTTATTAATGCAATTAATGACATTTCTCGGGGGATTTACCGAGGGAGACCCATGATTTACTGTGTAGACTAGGTCGCCCCTTACCTCCAGGTCCTGAGCCAATTCGGTTGTGTGCCCGAAATTTTGATTGTTTTATGTATAATGCCATGAAACTAATGGACTTTAATGCAGATGAAATTGTCTATAATGCAGTTGATGATGGCGATGTATCCAAACTTGAAAAATTACCTGTCCCCAAAACGCTGCATTTAAAAACTGGCTGCCCTGTTATGCTTTTAAAGAATTTAAGTGTAAAACTAGTTAATGGTTTGAGGGGACTGTTACAGGCATGTCAAGTAATTGTGTTACTGTGGATTTCATTGGGAGCAATTCAGAAAACTTAACAACAAATTTGAAGCCTGAATTATTCTCAGTATACAGTTGTAATGATGGCAAGGTCATTGCTTCAAGACAACAGTATCCTCTTTGTCTTGCCTATAGTATTACTATTCACAAAACACAGGGTTTAACTTTGCACAGAGTAGAAGTTGATGCTACCAATATTTTTGTGGCAGGCCAACTAGGAGTTGCCATAGGCAGAGCTACTAAAAAAAAAAGAATTATGAGTTCTAGGTTTTAATGAATCTTATGTTTTGAAGCATGACCCTGCTCTATACCAGTTTTACAAAAACACTGATGTAAAAGACTTTCAAGGGATACTTGATTGTTGCAGAGTTGTTTATTCATGTTCAGAATCCATGAAACAGCACTCAGTTTCTGAAAGTGAAATTGAAGAATTGTCAGATTTTAGTGACAATGAAATGAGCGAAATTGACTTTTTATTGTCACCTGATTCTGAGGTTTTTGAACTATACATCATGAACCAGTAGAGGAGTTCATTGATACAGCTGAAAT